GACTCATTTCTCACCAAAAGCAAGGATGAGGTCAGAGCCTGCGATGAGGTCAGAGCCCAGGACGGGGACCCACGCAAGCGCCCGAGAGCGGGGCTGCGTACACCCAAAGCCAGACAGCCCCCAGCAGCATGCCGCCCACCACGCACACGCCCCGGGCGAGCGAGACTTCCCTTCTGTTCCCAGAACGCAAACCGCGAGGAGAAGGCCATGGCGCCGGCGCATGGAGCTGGAGCAGGACGGCTGCCCTGGCTGCGAGGAGAGCGGGCAGAGGTGAAGCCCTGCGGTGGCGGAGAGGCGTAGCCACGCACCCGCGCCGGCTGCGGACCGGGCGCTTCGGGGCTCTGAGCGCAGGGGACCGATCTCCTCCTGCTCAGGCCCGGTGCCCAGCACGGGGGAGAGGACCCCACACGGAGCCGCACTGGCCTTGCACGCCCCGGCTCGGCCCTGCCTCCCCCGAGCTCACCAGACAAGCAGCCTCTGTCCTCGGGCGCCGGAAGGCGCAGAGACAGGAAGGGGCTTGAAGCCCCCGCTGCCCCCGCAACGGTGCCGCCAGCGCTCCCCGCAGCCCCTGCCCAGAGGGACAGCGCCGGGCCTCGCCGGAGTCGGGGCGAAAGGGGTCGGCCCGGAGCACGCAGGGCAGGGCGCGGGGGTCGCGGGCGGGGGCTGAGTCACCAGGCAAGCCTCCCCCCTGCGCGCACGAGCTATTCTGAGCCGCTGACGGGGCGTCAGGTGCTGCTGGCTGCCACCGAGCGGGATGGGAGCAAGGGGCTCGGAGCAGCAGGCGGGCGCTTCCCCAGGGCCCGGAGAGACGGGTGTTCGCTTGCCCGGCGGCCGCTGGAGCTGCACCGAGCTGCCAGCCGGCGCCACGGGCACACCCGGCGCAGCCCACGGGGCTCCCGGCCTCTGTCACCAGCCACCGAGGTACATGGCCCGCGAAGCCCCAAGGCAGCAGAGGGGCAAGGGGTGCTCGTGCCAGTACCCAGCCCATGCACCAGCAGCTCAGACGAGGCCCCCCAAAGCCCCTCGCAGCCAGCCCGGGGAGCCAAACCCCATGTTTCCAACACCCATGCCAGTCCGAGGGGTGGCTATAAATATCCCAGGCACGCGACGGTGGCCTGCCCGCCCCAGCCCCGCGGCCCTGCCAGCTCCCTGCTCGGGCAGGGGCACGGGTCGCTCCCACCGGCACTCGGGGCAGCCCCGCAGGGGGTCCCCCCCTTACCGGAGGGTCCGGCGAGCGGAGGGCGCAGAGCAGGCAGCTTCCGCTGCTGCAGGACGAGCGAGCGAGCGAGCGAAATGCGAGCGGTGAGCCCGTGTCACTTCCCCGCGCGCCGCCGGAGGCCCCGGGACAGCTGGGCTGATACGGCCGCCCTAAAAATAGCCCAGGAATGCGAGGCCGGGTCCCGCCGCCCCCTCCCTCCCTCGCTCCCCTCCACTCCCCTCTGCCCAGCGTCCCAGCGCGTGCATGGAGAGAGCCGGGCCGCGCCGCGCCACACCGCGCCGCGCCACGCCAGAGAGGGCCCGTTGCTGCCGGGAGAGGAAGTGATGTGGGCGTCTGCAAGCCAGGCTCAGCCGTGCCTCTGGGCAGGAAGCCACCCCGAGCCGAGCAAGGCCTGCCGTGCAGGGAGGGGGCCGTGGTGGGCTCAGGGGCAGGGTCACGCAGCCTAGCACGGTGCCACCGGCTCCGCACCTGCCCTGGGGTGGAGTGAAGGGCCTGCACTGGGCACCGGGCTGCCACGGGGGCTGGCAAAAGGGGGTCCCGCTGGCTGGGACCTCCTGCCCCCGTGTGCGGCGCGACTGCGGCCGGGAGCAGGCAGGGACCCCCCTTCTGCCCCGCCGGGCACAGAAAGGAGCAGCCGTCTGGGTCTGAGCCGGACTTCCCCTTTCCAGAGGTGGCCGGAAGGACCGTCGGCTGCTCCGCCACGTCCCCTCCCGTGCACTGAGCCTGGTCCCTCTGCCCCCCAAGACGCCCAGGGCTGCGGCCCTGCCGTGCCAGGCAGGTCCCTCTCCCCCCCGAGACGCCCAGGGCTGCGGCCCTGCCGTGCCAGGCAGGTCCCTCTCCCCCCCGAGACGCCCAGGGCTGCGGCCCTGCCGTGCCAGGCAGGTCCCTCTCCCCCCCGAGACGCCCAGGGCTGCGGCCCTGCCGTGCCAGGCAGGTCCCTCTCCCCCCCGAGACGCCCAGGGCTGCGGCCCTGCCGTGCCAGGCAGGTCCCTCTCCCCCCCGAGACGCCCAGGGCTGCGGCCCTGCCGTGCCAGGCAGGTCCCTCTCCCCCCCGAGACGCCCAGGGCTGCGGCCCTGCCGTGCCAGGCAGGTCCCTCTCCCCCCCGAGACGCCCAGGGCTGCGGCCCTGCCGTGCCAGGCAGGTCCCTCTCCCCCCCGAGACGCCCAGGGCTGCGGCCCTGCCGTGCCAGGCAGGTCCCTCTCCCCCCCGAGACGCCCAGGGCTGCGGCCCTGCCGTGCCAGGCAGGTCCCTCTCCCCCCCGAGACGCCCAGGGCTGCGGCCCTGCCGTGCCAGGCAGGTCCCTCTCCCCCCCGAGACGCCCAGGGCTGCGGCCCTGCCGTGCCAGGCAGGTCCCTCTCCCCCCCGAGACGCCCAGGGCTGCGGCCCTGCCGTGCCAGGCAGGTCCCTCTCCCCCCCGAGACGCCCAGGGCTGCGGCCCTGCCGTGCCAGGCAGGTCCCTCTCCCCCCCGAGACGCCCAGGGCTGCGGCCCTGCCGTGCCAGGCAGGTCCCTCTCCCCCCCGAGACGCCCAGGGCTGCGGCCCTGCCGTGCCAGGCAGGTCCCTCTCCCCCCCGAGACGCCCAGGGCTGCGGCCCTGCCGTGCCAGGCAGGTCCCTCTCCCCCCCGAGACGCCCAGGGCTGCGGCCCTGCCGTGCCAGGCAGGTCCCTCTCCCCCCCGAGACGCCCAGGGCTGCGGCCCTGCCGTGCCAGGCAGGTCCCTCTCCCCCCCGAGACGCCCAGGGCTGCGGCCCTGCCGTGCCAGGCAGGTCCCTCTCCCCCCCGAGACGCCCAGGGCTGCGGCCCTGCCGTGCCAGGCAGGTCCCTCTCCCCCCCGAGACGCCCAGGGCTGCGGCCCTGCCGTGCCAGGCAGGTCCCTCTCCCCCCCGAGACGCCCAGGGCTGCGGCCCTGCCGTGCCAGGCAGGTCCCTCTCCCCCCCGAGACGCCCAGGGCTGCGGCCCTGCCGTGCCAGGCAGGTCCCTCTCCCCCCCGAGACGCCCAGGGCTGCAGGCCAGCCGTGCCAGGCAGGTCCCTCTGCCCCCCCGAGACGCCCAGGGTTGCGGGCCAGCCATGCCAAGCAGCTCTCCAGGGCTGCAGCTGGCCCTGCTCCTTGGGCCAGTCAGACCGAGCCATGGAGCCAAAGCGCCAGGCTGCACCGCATCAAACCCCGTGGCAAGAGCAGCCGGGCCGCACGCTCCACGCACCATGCGGGTATAGGGGGTCCTCCCTAGACCCCCATGGGATGTGAAGGCGGATAGGCTGTGTCTGTGCTGGTGGTGAGCAGAGAAACGGGGCAACCCAGGCGGACCCCAAGCCATGGCTGGGCCAGGCGGCACGGCGGGCATCCCGCACAGCACAGCGACGGGTGCCCTGCGAGCGAGCGGGCAACCCAAGCCCAGCAGGCAGGGTGGGCATTTGGGACACAGCTACGACCCGTGCCGGACCTGCCATGCCCCCGGCACCCAGCAGATGGCAGCACCGGGAGCCCCCGTGCAAGCAGCTGCACCCGGCGTGCAGCACAGCGGGGGGGCACCGCCCAGCCAGGGCCTAGGGGCTCCCCACTGGCCCTGGGCCCAGCCCGTGCCCCCGACTTGCCCAGACTCCAGCCCCGGGGCACAGAGGGCCAGGCCCCCCGCACGAGACGGGACGCCAGGTCTCGGGGCACCCTGGACACCCGCTGCCCGCCCTGCTGCACTGTGATGCCTGCCCCGAGCCACCCCCACCTGGCCCTGCCAGGGCCCCTGCTCGCCAGCCTGGCCCCGGGTTGCACAGAGCCCCATCCGAGGAAGGATCAGGCCAGGCCCCCAGGGACATGGGGGCACCCCTGCCCCCCAAAGCAGGGCCCTGGTGCTGCCCGCGCTCCCCGATCCCCTTTTGAACACCTCCGGCATAAACATATGCCCATTCCCTTGGCAATGAGGGGAAACAAAATGAAGGACACGGGGAAGCAGGATGTGGAGTGGTACACGCGGGCTGGGGTGACATGTGGGGGGTGTCCCGGCTTCCCCCCAGACCAGCCTGCACCCCAGGAAGAGCGCACAAACACCCCCTGCCTCGCAGCGCGGCAGCACCGACGCCACGAGCACCGCGGCCCCCGGGCAGCTGGGTACGGCACAGAGCAGGCTGGAAAGGCCTGGCAGCGCCTGCATGAAAACGAGGGGCCGGCTCCCCCGATGCACGTCCGAGTCCAACGCTCCCGGGCTGCCAGGTGGAGCCGAGGCAGCAGGGACAGGCCGGGGGTTCCCTCGGAGCCGGAGCTGGGCTGGCGCTAGCTCCATGCTCCCAGCGATGGCTCTGGGTCAGACCTGACGGGAAGAGGCTCTTGTGCGGCTGGCCCAGGGCCAGAGCGCAGCCCGCACGCTCCCTCCAGCGCTTACGGGAACAGCCGCGTCCCGTGACCCCGCGCGGGCACGTGCCAGGAGCACCGGTGCCCGAGGGGGCGCGCAAGTGCACGAGCATCCCTGGCCGCCTGCAGAAGCGCCCAAAGGTCACAGGCCCCCAGGAGCCACGCGGTCAGAGGAGCCGCAAGACCCGCCGACGGCCCAGCGCGACGGCCCAGCGTGGGGCCCTGCCCGCTCCCAGGCGGCCCCCAGCCCCCGACTCCCGCCCCTGCTGCCTCAGTTTCCCCCAAAGCAGTCCCACAGGGCACATCCCCGTGCGCACGCCCCGTGGACCCCAGCCAAGGCAGGGGGCCCTGGCCGCCCGCTCCAGCCCCGCCAGGACACGAGACAACACACAGGCAGATTCCTACGCGGCCCCTGGGGACGGAGGCGGCGCAGCTCGTTAGCACAGGCCGCGCTCCAGCCCTCCCTGCTTCCTGGAAACGGGGAAGGGGGCAAAGGTCTGCGGAGCAGCGCGCAGGCTGCCGAGGGCCAGGCGCACAATAGCCAGGAGCATGGCAGGAAGCCGGACAGAGCTCTGGAGCCAGGCCCTGCAACTGCCCGGGCGCTCGAGCCCAGCCTGCTCCACGCCCCGGGCACGCATCCTTTGCAGACCAGCACCGCCGGGCGAAGCACGAAGACACACCGAGACCCCCCCGCTCACTGCCCCATGCCGAGGCCACGCTGGGCCCTGCTCCCAGCCCAGACGTGGCAGGGCTGGGTGCCAGCCCCACGGAGGAGCCGTGCGGCACACCCAGGGGCAGGGCACCGGCTTTGCCGCCCCACAGACGGGGCGTGATGCACGGCGCAGGAATCCAGCCCGGCTGCAGCCTGGGGCGCCGGGAGGAGGGCAGGCGCGGGCGAGGATGCCGGTGCCGCCCGCCCCACCGATACCGGCATGAGTCTGCAGAGCCGGATGCGCCCTGGGCTGCAGGGCGGGGAGCACTGCGGGTGGCGAAACCCAGAGCGGGGCAGAGCTGCTGCGGGGTCCGGTGCACGGGCAGAGAGGGTCCCACCACCCCCTGCCACCAGCTCAGCCCCGCAGCCGGTGCCGGAGCCCAGGAGGCAGGCGCTGGCACGACTGCTCCCTGACCTTCACGCCGGGCGCAGCCGCTCTCCTTGCCCCCGGCGCTGCGGAGCGGCTGGGGGAGGCGAGCGATGCCCAGGCAGGCGGAGCAGCCCTGGGGCTGCCGGAAGCTGCTGGGCCCTGGCGCCGGCGCACCCAGGAAGGGCAGCGCCTGGCCCTTTCCGTGCCCCCGGGGGTCTGCGCTCCCCTGCCCGGGGCTCAGGAATGCGGCGCTCGCCGGCCAGACCCTGCTCTCGGCTCGCAGCGAGCATTTCTGCTCCACCAGCAGATTCCTCTCATTCCTCCCCCAGCCCCAGCGAGAGGGCGCCTGCTGCTCCCGGGCAGAGGACCCCACCTCCAGCCCCGCTCTGGGATCTTAGCGGCCGCAGCACCCGGCAAACACCCGCGTGCCAAGCCCTGAGCTCTGCAGCCGCCTGCCCTCCCCAGGGCACCCCGACACCTCCCCGGGCGAAAGGGCCGGGTTGGGCCAAAGGGCGCACGGGGTCGCGCGGGGTCTTGCTGGCCCGAGCGCGGCATAGCTGTAGAGGACCCCACCTCCAGCCCCGCTCTGGGATCTTAGCGGCCGCAGCACCCGGCAAACACCCGCGTGCCAAGCCCTGAGCTCTGCAGCCGCCTGCCCTCCCCAGGGCACCCCGACACCTCCCCGGGCGAAAGGGCCGGGTTGGGCCAAAGGGCGCACGGGGTCGCGCGGGGTCTTGCTGGCCCGAGCGCGGCATAGCTGTGGTCTGGAGCAGCGCGGCGCGTTTCTGGCATGCCTCGGCCGGCCGGAGCAGGCCTGCGCACGCCGGGTCCGGCCAGAGGAATGTCCCTGGTAAACAAACCCTCGCAGGCCTGGAGCGGAGCCAGACCGGCTGGGCCAGGGCCTCGGCCTCGCTGCCACGGCAAGGTCCCGCGGCCACGGCCCCGAGTGGCTCCAACGTGGCCGCCCTCAGCGCCGGAGATGCTGCCACCCCGGGTGCCAGGCAGACCTGTCCACCCGCCCCGAAGCCGGAGACAAGGTGGGGATGGGGGTGACCCATCCAGGCGCCCCCCTGCCACGTCCCAAGGCAGCTCAGGGCCAGGTGGCAGGGAGCGGGCTGCCCGTGACCGGTCAAGGCCACGTGTCCTGCCTCAGTGCCATGGGCCCAGCTGGTTTGATGCAGGATGGACCCCCGGCACAGGGGCCACGCTGGGCCCGGCCTGGCATGGTGATGCTGCCCAGACCACGGGCACCTCGGGGAGGATTCCCGGGGGCTCCCGAGCAGCTCCTGCCTTGCCAGCCCTGGATGGAACAGAGCGCGCACACCCACCCCACCATGCAGCGACCCACGCACCACACGGCGTGGACACCTGCCCACCGGCACCACAGCGACACTGCCCTCGCGTGCCCCATGCCCACCGGCTGGTGCCGGCCCGGGATGAGCGGGTGGCCGCAGGGTCTTCACTGCAGGAGCCGCGCGGCCTGTAGCGCTTGGCCCCGCACGCACAGCGACAAGTCCCCCCCCGCCGCTCCGCGCTGAGGAGGGGTTTCCAAAGCAAGCGCCCAAAATATGTAGATCATTTCCTGCTCGACACAGAAAAAGCATCGTTTTAATTTAAATTAGGAACAGAAACATTCCAGGGAGCCTGGCGGGGCAGGGGGAGCCGGGGCGGAGCTGCCAC